CTATATATGATATATACATATATATAATATATGCACATATATATATACATATATATATATATACATATACATATATATATATATATATACACACACACACACACATATATATATATTTACATATATATACATATATGCAAATATATATTTTATTACTTCTCCTGGTATTGCTGTACAACCTGTTGGTCGAGTGATTGTGTTTTACGGTCGCAGTTGCCTGTATATGTGCATGTCCATCACCGCATAACATAAATGAGCCATCGTCTACCCGTATAGTCATACACCCGTTTGCACCAAATCAGAGTTTAGATAAACCCTAAAACCTTAAAACCCTATCGCCACTGCTGCGGCGGCTATGGTACGGGTAGTACAACGCCCTGTCGTTGCGTTACACGCACGTGCCTGCTGTCCACGCTTGTCACCTTTACATCACTCCCCGCTTCCACGCACACGCCGTGCGTGTTGGTTTTGGTGTTGGTGTTGGTGTTGTTGTGCGTGTACACCCACTCTCCCGCCTTTGCTGCACCCCTTACACCTACACTTACACTTACACCTGACCGCTCCCTTGCTCACACCTCCTGCTCCTGTCCGTGCCCACATGCATCTTCTGGCAGTGGTGTTGCTCGTGTGGGGCTGTCCCTTTGCTCCTGCGCTGCACGTGCTGGTGACGGTACTGTGTGTGTCGTAGCCGCTTGCTCGTGTTGTTGTTGTTGTCGTCGTTGTCTGGGGTGGCTATCGCACTGATGCAGTATCGTTGCCATGTGCGGTTGTGATAGCGTGCCTAATTCAGCGTCACTCCATTCAGCTATATCCACTGGGCCGATGTAGCCGGAGAGTCTCACTCGCTGCGAGCAGCGCTTGGCACCGCGTGCATAGCAACCGTTGATATGCCCGCGCTCCGGCGGTTCGCTATCGTAGTGCTCCTGTGAAGTAGGTATGATTGGCGATGTGAAAGGGCGGTCAGAACGATTGGTGGATGGGCGAAGGTGGTTGAAATGGTAGGTACATAGCATACAATAACACACAGTTACACACAATAGCACAATAACACACAACAACACACAACAAACACAACAACACAACAACACACAAAAACAAACAATAGCACAATATCACAATAACGCACAACAACACACATGGCCATCAGCAAGAAGGTTAAGTTATATATTTTAGGGTTTAGGGTTTTTGGAGAATATGGTGGTCACGCTTGGATAAAAAGGTGACGCAGGACAGCATCTATGTCACTGCAGAGGTGTGAGCTGCGCTGTCTATGTCGCTAGACTAAGGGGGAGACGAAGAATAGTGATATAAACTTACCGGTTGGCAGAGGGGGTCAGTCGTGATATATATATGTGGTAGTAGACAGTTGGCTAGGAGAGTATGGGGTCTTATTGTAATTCTTAGAGGTAGTGGGAAGAGGGGGGTGACCCACTCTCTCTCTCGTCGGGGGTGGGGGTGGTATCTCCTTCGGAGGTGTCTTCGGTAGTCATATATCATAGTTAGACAAGAGTGACATAACTAATAGGTGGAAGGAGCGTAACCAGCACGAACGCGCGCATGCATGGAGCACAACCACACACGAAACATAGCATGACACTAGCACGTACTATTGGCATCAAACACAGCATGACACTAGCACGTGTTGGGCCGTGCCCATATTCCCAGCCAAATCTTTGGGAGAACAATCGCCCAAGTCCTTTTAGTACCATTGCACCCACCCACCTGCCCCTGCCCCTGCACCTATCCTTTCTCTTCTGGTGCACCGTCACATACGTACCTCCGCTGGCCCTCATGCCGGCCCGTGCGTTTGTACTCGACCTCGTCTGTGGGTCCATCCCCATCGTCCACGTGTTTAGTTGCTTCGTCCACGTGTTTAGTTACATCCCCCACGTGGTCATCCCTGTCTCTCGATGTGGTGTGTGTGCCGTTGCCGCTCTGCTGTGCCCGCAGTCGCGCACACTTCTCCGCCTCCTCGCACGCTAACCGTCGCACCGACTCAGCGCTTAAGTCCCCCCACGCCTGAAACACATGTGAGCGTGACAGGGGTGTGTAGTCAACGTCTTGCGGCTGCGCCTGTTTGCCCAATGTGCTCGTGTGTGTCTGACATCGCTGCGGTGTGTCTTCACAGGGCCGATGGGGTACGGGGTGGGTAGCCAGGGCTGCGTCTCCGATGTGATCGTACCACAACTCCCTGTCCCGTATCTCGGTCTGGCTAGGCTTATTGTTAGGCCCATTATTAGGCCCATTGTTAGGCCCCTTGTTAGCCGTGGTTGGCCCATTCTGGTCCCCACCAGTCCCGTCGAGGTCGTGTGCGGCTGTGCCTGTGGTTACGTACCGCCGCTTGACTGTGCGCGTGTCTATATTCGCCCGTGTGCTCTTGCGCTTACCTACCGTCTGTGTCTCAGCCGCACGGCACAACAACCCCTCCACACGAAAGTCCCCACACACCCTCTCGCACGCGGAGGTGTCACCCAAACCCTGCCCATACACCACAGTGGTCTCAGGCCCCTCCCTAGCCCCACCCACGTTTGCAGCAGCAACCGTTGGTGGCATATGCCCTGCCTCACGCACACACTGTGCTTGTGTTTGTGTCTCTGTCTCTGCCGCAGACACAGACACAGACGCGTAGGCCATTCGTTTCGTGTGCCTTGTGCGTCTGTCGCTGCATGGCAGTGGAGGAATTGGCATTGCTGTGTGTGTCCACACGCGCACGCGCACTCGCAGTGGGACGAGGCGTTGAGACACAATTCGCGATGTTCGCACGTGTGGGCATGTCCTGTGCACGCGCGAGCCTCTCGTGTGGATGGGCCGTCGTGTGCTGTGCATGTGTTGCTGTGGGCTGTGTACGTGTCACGTGGTGCTCTGCGTGTACGTCTGTGCCATGGTCTCGTGTGGGTGTGCTCGGTGCTTCTGAAGGCTGGTAGGTAGGTTCATCATACCGCTTTGAAAGCGGGACGGCGGCCTTGTCATCGTCCTCATCGCTCGAAAACAGTAGCGCGTATACAGACTGACTGACGTCTGCCTGTACCCCAGTATCCTCTGACCTGTCCCTGTAAACCTGGTTTTCTCTGCTGTAAACCTGGTTTTTGCCGTCTTGCGTCTGATTACATAGTGTATGTAGACGCGAGTGACGTTGTGATAGAGGCGGAGAATGCATAAGCTCCCGTTCGCTTCGTGGGAGTGTGTGAGTGTGTGGGTGTGAGTGTGTGTGTGTCTTGTGTGTGTGTGTCTTGTGTGTGGGTGTCTCGTGTGTGGGTGTTCTTGGCAGTGGGCGTGGTTGGTGTGCCTGTGTGAAAGAGGCTGTGTGACTGCTGGCCCTCTGTTCGGCTGACACGTAAGTACGTGCCGTGCGCACAGTGACTGGCGTAGCGTCGTTAAGGCCCACCCCTTGAGCCTGCGTAGACACAGGTGGTGCGTGTGTCCTGGTGGTCTGTTGCATGCTATCACATACACCTCTTTCGCGTGATCCCGGTGCACCCGCCGTGTTCGTCGACTGGGCCATGCGCGTCAGAAACTCCTTTGCGTGGTTACGGGTGACGGTGGGTTCCGTGGGGCTGTGGCTCCTGCTTGCTCCCTCACGCGTGTTATGACTACCCACACGCGTGCGCGCTTCTAGCTGGCCCTGTGTACACAGCTGCGCGTCTCCAGAGGTCTCTCCACGCTCATATTCACCATACTGTAGAGGCGTACTCTCGCCCTCTATCTCTGCCAGGCCCCCCTCCACGTGCTTGTAGGTACCATTGTCCTCTGCTTGCGCAGGCTCTCCTGCCTTGATGTAGCCCTGCACATGTTCATGTTCATGTGCTGGTGTACTTTCGTGTGCATTGGCACTTTCGTGTGCGCCGTCCGTCCCGTTGCGCACAGTGCACGCGTTCACATCGCCCGTGTCCGTTCCCATGACAACTATATACTCCCCACCAGCCTTCAGATGCTTCGGCCCATACACAAACGTCCCATCCCACTCCGGCACCGCCCCTTCTCTCCTCTCCTCACGCCCAAGCCCTTCCGCGCGCTCCCTCGCGCGCTTTGCCGCGCGCGTCTTACGCGTCGCGCGCGCGTTCTCCCGCTCCACCGCACCCTCGTCGGTGCTCCAGGTGTCACTCTCCACACCCCCATTAGAGCGAGCCTCCTTAGCAATGGCGTGTATAGCGGCCATCTGCGCCAGTTCACCTGTGTGCATGTGACGTACACTCTTGCGTCGTGCTAACCCGTCTCCCATGACCACAAAGCGACTGTCGTGTGCACGGGCACGGCCTCTGCTCTGCACCAGAGATGTCGGTGTCAAAATGCTGTCAAAGCGGATCACGGTGTTGGCGGAGGGGATGTCGAGCCCTTCCCCTGTCACGGAAGTAGACAGCAGAACACACACACTCCCACTGGCAAAGTCAGCCAGAACGCTGACATGTAGGTAGGGAGGGGCGAGCATTTAGTTCAAGGGAGCGATGGGAGAGATGTTGATGGTACACTTGA